TGTTGGTGCAGGGTGTGAGAGTGTGCAGTTTGTGCAGCTTGTCCATGTGTCGGTTTGCCAGGCCGCTCTCCCCAGGAGAACCTGGTCCCCTGCGACGTGCTTCTCCTCAGAGGGCGCTGTATAGTGGACGAGGCCATGCTGACCGGGGAGTCTGTACCTCAGATGAAGGTTAGTTGGGCTAATAGAGCTACTACTGTACCGTGGTATTATCATGCCTTATTACACTCCGTATTGCTCTTCTGGACTGTGTTGTAGTGTGCTGCTCTGTTCTATACTATTCTGCACTACACTATAGCACAGTACTACCTTGCCATAATAATACGGTGTACTCTGCAAGCGTTTGAAAGCCAACTCAGGTTCAGAATCTGGTTTTGATTTGAAATGTAAAATTGGGCACAGATGAGGATTTGCTGCTGCAGTTAGTGGGTGCTTCTGAAAAAAGTGTGAATAACTGAATAATGGAAGGATCTTCCTCTCACTGATTACAGTCTGTGCGACACTGAATTGGACTGTGTGCTATAATTTACTAGACAGATCATTCTGTACATTACCACAGCCTGCCGTAGGATTCTGTTCAATGTTATAATGTACTGTCCTTAACTCCACTGTACTGTGCTGCTCTGCTCTAGACTGTTGCTGTGCTGTAGACCTGTAGACGTGTAGACAGCGTGCACTGCGAGTCGGGCTCTATTGCATGAACTGGCCCGGGTTAACCTGGTGTGTCTGTGTTGTAGGAACCAGTTGAGGACCTGGACCCATCCCGAGTCCTGGACCTGCAGACTGACTCCCGACTCCACGTCATTTCGGGCGGAACCAAGGTGGTTCAGCACAGCCCACCCCACCGGGCCTCGGCCGGGCTCAAACGTCAGTACACCCCTCCGCTGCTAGGGGGCGACACTGATTCACATTTCCCACTCTATCACTCTTTCACTCTTCCTAGCTTGCATGGTCATCTTCTCCTTTTCTCTCCCTTCCTCACTAACTTCTTCGCTAGTTCCTCCTTTGGATAATTAAAACGCGTAGCAGGTCCAATAACTCACCCACCCACCGTGGACCAATCACTGGTGCATGGTCCCAGTACCTCAACCCTCTGGTTTTTGTCTCATAAACTAAAATCTGAAGACATGCCCTGCAACAGGACCGGAATAACCGTGATGCATCGTCAACATATTTCAGTACGAGGGGTGAGAGTTCCCAGGGGGCCCTGCATAGCTTCCTTCCGACACGTCACTCTGGTGGCAGGAACAAGAGTAGTGTTTCCCCTTGGGCGTTGCAGTAACCTGTGCTGGGTGAACCCAGTGTCCTTTAGTAGGCTGCCCCCTCACCGTGTTGGGCAGGAGCCTGCTGCTCTGTGTGCCCCCTGACTGCGTCGGGCACGAGCCGGCTACTCTGTGTGCCCCTTGCCGTGAAGTCAGTGCCTCACCTGGTCTTGTCCAGCTGTGCCCCTTGCTGTGACGTCAGGGCCTCTCCTGGTCTTGTCCAGCTGTGCCCCTTGCTGTGACGTCAGGGCCTCTC